AGCTCGTTGGGGGGCGGCTCATGGGGGGGAGACTTGTCAAGGGGTGTCTTGTCGGGGGGCAGCTTATCGGGGGGTGATTTGTCAAGGAGGAGCTCGTCGGGGGGCAGCTCGTCAGGGGGTGACTTCTCGAGCGGCAGTTTACTGGGGGGCAGCTCGTCGAGGGGAGGTATGTCAAGGGGCAGCTCGTTGAGGGGCGGCTCATCAAGGGGTGGTTCACTGGGGGGCAGCTCCTCAAGGGGGGGTCTGTCAAGGGGCGGCTCGTCAAAGGATGGTCTCTCGAGGGACAGCTCATCAGGGGGTGGCTCCTCGGGGGGCAGCATGAGAGGAGGGGGCTCCTCAGGGGGCTGCACGAGAGGAGGCGGCTCCTCAGGGGGCTGCACGAGAGGAGGGGGCTCATCGGGGGGCAGTTCATCAGGGGGCACCTCGCTGGGGGGCACCTCCACAGGGGTCGGCTCGCCAGGAGGAGACCCGCCATCACCCGGGGGTGCCTCCTTGGGGTCATCCCCCCCAAGCTGTGTCTCCTCATCGCACCCTGCAGGCTCTGGCTCAGGCGGGGGGACGGGCACATCCGTCAGATCGCTGCGATCAGGGGACGCCAACCTGGATGGGGGGGTACCAGGTAAGGGGAGTGGGGCTCAGACCACCCCCTCCACGGGGCTGTGGGATACGTCCTCCCACCTGCAAAGGGAGCACCGAGCCCAACACCCCACCAACCAGTCCCCCCATCCCCACTCACATCTGGGCAGGTGGGTCCGGCTGTGGCGCGTGTGCCGGCACCCCACAGGCGTCCTCTGCGGTGCGGCGCTGCTGGCAGCCCTCGCACACTGAGTAGCTCTGGTACCACTGGCAGCCAGGGTCGAGCCCTGCCGGGCGCCGGCCGCAGTCCGAGCAGACCCGGCAGTTCTGGTGGGGGACGGGGGGGAGGCAGAGGCATGTCAGGGGTAGGCAAGGGGGAGTGGCTAGGCACTCCTGTACCCCCCTCAGAGAGAACGGGGCGCACCTTGCACTTCCAGGAGTCAGCGGGGAGGCCCTCGATGGCCGGCTCCATGCAGAAAGTATGGTAGCCCTTGTCGCAAGCCTCACAGACCAGCATCATGGAATCCTCGCCGGGCTGCCTGCGGGGTGCAGGGGCAGGGATGAGGCCTGCGTCCCCCTCCCGTACACCCCTCATTGTCGTCCGCCGTCGTGCGCGTCCCCCCCCCAGCCACAGAGGCACAGGCTCACCTGCAGGTTTGGCACACTTTGCACTCAGGGCACTGCCAGCCCGAGCGCTTGTGGGGCGTCAGGGCAATGTCCAGGCAGGCCCCGTGGTAGTGCTGTCCACAGCTGGTGCAGAAAACCAGGTCCCGCAGGTCACCCGGCCCGTCGCACACTGAGCACCGGGCGTCCTCTGAACGGAGACAGAGGAGGGGGCTGTCAGGACCACCCTCTCACTGGGCTCTGCCCCCTCCCTGGGACCATGGGACCCCCCCCTCCAGGGCAGGAGGGGACCCAGCACCCAGGGCTGGTGGTCCCAACCCACACGCACCCATCTGCACGGCCTCGGCCACGTGCTCAGGACAGAGGAGCCGGAGGGTCTTCATGGACTGGAAGCAGCCGCTGGCGGCAGCACAGGGGAAGTGGTAGAGGCGGGGGCAGCCGGCCGCCCGGCATGGGATGGTGGCCCCCATCTGCCGACAGTGTTCACATTTCTGAAAGCGGAGGAGCCCCGTGGGGTCAGAGATGCTGCCCAGGGCCAAGCTGAGCCCCCACCGCCACCCCCCACCCTCCCCAGGACCCTCTCACCTGTGAGATCCCTGAGAAAACAGCTCTGCTCACGCCGGCCAAGCCCGCCACCTCCTGCCCCATGCCGGCAGACCAGGCTGCGCACCAGCGGTGGACCCAGCAGTGCCCTGTGGGGAAGGGGCATCAGGGACGGGGTCGGAGGACACCCAGGGTGGTGGGACAGGGACCCCAGTGCCGTGACCGCACTCACCTGTCGGCTCAAAAAGCTGCGCTGGAGTCACCCGCTCAGAGAAGCCGATCTGCATCAGGTCGTCACCCACCGGCTCCAGCTCCGGGGGGGACTGGCCGGGACCCTCGGGGGGCTCGTGCCCCACCAGCTGCTCAGGCCAGTCGGGCGCCGGCTCAAACCGCTGCAGCTCCCGCTGCCCGTGCGGGCTCCAGTCCCCACAGTTGCAGAGGGCGCAGCGGCGGGCCGGCGTGCTGGAGGAGGGGGGGGACACACGGACACAGGGGGTGTCAGAAACACCCGGAACCCCCCCAACAGCTCCACGACATCCCCTGAACCCCCTCGTTCTCACCTGCCAGCCTGCGGAGGTCCCTTTGTGTCCGTGCTCTCCGGCTCCGGCCCCGGCCCTGCGGAGGCTCCTTCGGGGGGTTTCAGGGGGTCCCCCTCCGCGCTGCCCATCTCCTCCGAGGCCACGGCCCCATCGGCTGCCAGGAGAGAGGCTGTCAGCCACCGCGGGGTGGGGGGGGGACGACGACAAGAACCTGGCACCCTAGGGTGGGGGGGACAGCACCAGCCCCCCCCAGCACCCTGCCCTGGGCTCACCTGGCGCGTCCGCGTCCTTCTGCTCGCTGGGCGGCTTCTGTTCGTCCATCCTGCCTCCGGCGTCCCTTGGGGGAGGCCCGCGGCTGGGAGGGGGTGAGATCTGTCAGCACAGGGCTAAAGGGACCCTTCCCTGGACCCCCCCGGGACACCCCCCCCACGGGACAGGGCAGCCCCTTCAGGCCGCTCCCCCTGAGGCAAGTTTGCAGGGTCTCAGCCTGGCAGAAACATCACTCCCTACACGTACCACGAGCGGGCGGCAGGTCCCGGTTCCCCGGGGGGGGGGGTCCACGGGCCCCCGTAGCCCACAGACGGTTCCTCCCCACTCCCTCCAACACCCACTGGCCCCCCCAGGTGTCTCCCCCAGGTCAGGGTGGGGATGACACAGCAACACCCCGGGGCAGTCCCTTCCCCACCGACAAAGCCGCGCGGGGGCCAGGGGTGCATGACCTCAATTAAACCTGGGGGAGGGACGGGGGGGGGGGTCGACCCTGGCACCACCGCACACCAGCACCCCAGGGGGTCACTGGGACCCCTAAGGAACCACCCGGACCCTGGCAGCACCAGCTCTGGGGGGGGGTGGGGAAGAACCCTCAGTGTCCGTGGGGAAACTGGGACACCCCCCCCCGGTGCCCCCCGCCACAGGACTGGATGGGATTTGGGGTGCAGCAATAAAGCAGGGTACCTGGGGTCCCCTCTGCCAGCACCCGCCTGTGCCTCAGTTTCCCCAGGCACAGCACTGATCCAGCCAAGCCCACGCAGCACCAGGTGGGGGTGGGGAAACACAGAATTGGGGGGGGGTCACCCCCAAACACCACAACCAAAGCTTCGGGGGGGGC